TGCCTTACATGGGCACTGACTGCTGCATGACCAACCTCTGAAAGCTATGAGCTAAGATCTTGCTGGTGTTTCAATAATGATGTGTCCCAGCACTCTCCTTCCACCTGCTTGGAGTCATCCTCATAAGAAGAGATGAGTAAGCAGCAACACCTGTGGCAGGCAGTGCCTGTGAAGGACCTGCAGATAGAGTGAGACAAGCACAGGTCAGCACCCTGCCTGCAGCACCTACCCCTGGGTGCTGGAGGTGGGTGGAGAGGGACCTGCCTGTGCCCAGCAAGGAGGAAACCTGACTCCTGGGAGCTGGATCCCAAACAAACAGTGCTGCCGGCGCTGTAAAAAGTAAATAGCAGAGGAGATACAGCCAGAAAATAGAAAAGGTCTTCTCCTCCGAGCCTGAGACACCACAGAGGTAAGAAAGCTTTGCTAAATAAAAAGTATTTAGTAAAATCTTGCTTATTATTGGGGGTGTCTGATAATTTGTGTGATCAGATAGCCCCACTCTCACCTACAGGAAAAATTCTCAGCCAGAGAATGTCTCTGACCTTACTGACAGAGTTCCCAGGTGGTGTCACAGGCAGCACTGCATGTTGTATGGCCTTTGTGCCTCACAGTCCTCTGGAGAGGGGTCACAGCATCATTCCAATGGGTCCCAGCAGCAGTTTCACTGTACTCTTGGTTGTTCCCTTCAGCTGGAGGATTTTTATTTTCCCTGCCAGCAACAGCTTTGTCACTGCTGTTCTTTTGGCTCTTGCAATTGGTGTTTAGTTGGATTTACAAATAGAGGGAAATGTGTGACTCCCTGAAGATAGACACTACCTGCTCCATTAAGGCAAACAGGGCTGCATAGGTTTGGGATGAGCAAAACTCAGGTTGGTAGGAAATGTTAGGAGGTTTACTGTGCCTGCATGGATTTCTGGTGTTGAGGTGCTGGAGAATGTATCCCACCTGCTTACCAGCTGCTATTTGTGGTTTTATTTGTGCTAGAGACTAGTGTGGTTCTCACACTAGATACTATCTACCATCTGCTGCCTCTGAGGGTGTCTGGCTACTGCGGGGTGCTGGAGGTGGCCCTGCAGCCTTCTGCTTGAGCACAGGACCCTCACTGTGAGCTCTGCACAGCAGCACCAGGGACTGGGGTTCCCTCCCTTTCTGTGGAAGAGTTGTGGCACTTCCCAGAAGGAATGCCCATAGCCCAGAGCAGGCACCAGTGAAATGCCCCAAGACCTCTCAGCAAAGAGTAGCAGGGCATCCCAGCATCAGGATGGGTGGGCAAAGGCCCAGGCCTTGATGCTTGTCCTGCCACCACTGTGGGCTGTGCCTTCCACAGACATTTTGGAGGAGAGTGTTTGTTTAACCTGACACAGTGTGATGTGGCAGCTGAGAGTAGAATGTGTTTGCAGGTCTCTAGTCACAAAGGAATAGAAAAGGAGAAGAACAGGTGCCCAGATTTTGTTATTGCAGAGCCTTTGGCTATTCAGATACACAGTAAATCTTTACCTCTTCCTGTGGGCTCTTCCAGGCACCTTCTTTGGTTTTTGTTGAGCTGGTTCCACTTGAAAATAGTCCCTAGCTGTTGGCCATCATAATCAGCTGGTGACTCTGTGGCACTGCTGAGAGACAGATGTAACCAATATACTTTGCATATTCTTTGGTGCTGGGCTGTAATGACCTGTGACAGGAAGGTCAGTGCATGTGACCCAGCTGACTAATCTGCCATTAGTCCTTAATGGCCCCCTTTTAACTGTACCTCAGTATAGGACCTGGGTGTCCATGCTGTAGTGCTGTAATTCCATGCTTTCTGTGTTCCTGCTGCCCTCTATCTCAAAGGGAATTTTGTATCTCTCATTAAATGCTCTCAGCCATTAATTCCCTCCAGCTCTCACCCTTCTGCAGCCTCCCTGCAGCCTGGGCCAAGCCCAGCACTCTTGAAGGGAGGTCATCGAAGGAAAGGGGGTCAGCAAAGTGCAGATGCAGTGCCTGAGCATGCACTCAGCAGGAAAGGTTGTGGGTTTAACCAATCAGTGTGCTTAGGATTAACATGAGTTTTTCTGATGAGGAAAAGCAACAGTGGCCAAAAGAGCTAGTGCTGAAAGCCAGAAACACTGGCAGGGGAATCCAGCTTCCAGTTGCAACCCAGAACGCATGGCTATGTTTATGGGTGCCCTGAGAGGATGGGGATTAGTGTGCCAAGGGATGAGGCAGATGGGTTGGTTTGCAGCAGGAAGCTGTGTGCTGTGATGGTGTTTGCAGGGGTCCCAGGATGAGGGAAGAGATGAGAATGTTGACTCCATGTTTCAGAAGTCTTGATTTATTATTTTATGATAATTAAATATTTTATGGTATATTATATTAAAACAGTACTAAAAGAATAGAAGAAAGGATTTCGTCAGAAGGCTGGCTAAGAATAGAAAAGGAATGATAACAAAATCCTGTGACTGACCGAGACAGTCCAGACAGCTGGACTGTGATTGGCCATTAATTAGAAACAATCACATGAGACCAATCACAGATGCACCTGTTGCATTCCACAGCAGCAGATAACCGTTGTTTACATTTTGTTCCTGAGGCCTCTCAGCTTCTCAGGAGAAAAAGTCCTAAGGAAAGGATTTTTCATAAAACATGTCTGTGACAGTTTGCTGCCTGGGGTTAGGGAGCTGGCTGTGTCCCCTGGCTCTGCCTCAGTGGGGCTCCCACCACACTGACCACTTGTAGAGAGCAGCACCTCTACTCAAACCCAGCTCCACTGGGGAGCCTCCAACAGGGACAACCACTACTGGTTGTATCAGGTCTTGGCTCCTGGAGATGCAGCATCTTTTAGAATGGCACTGCATTTCACTGCCCTCTGGGCTGGAGAAATTGTCACATGCTCTCTTGTCTTAGCAGGTCTCCAGTCTTCCCTAAGGCAATCCCTAGACTTTCCATAAAAGTAGCCAGTGTGATGTGATGACTGATATCTCTCCATTCAATTAACTTACTCTGTGATGTTTCTATGTGTTTTTCACCGAAACCCTAAAGGGAAGGGACATCTTCCAATAGCTGCATGAAACCCATATTTGACTGTATCTGAAAGTTTCCACTCCGGTGTGAGAAACTGCCTTGCTGTTTTCTCGTTCAAGTGACTGTTGTGAGATTTCACAGGTAAATCCTAGCCTTGCCTGCTGTGACAGTGGATCCCAGCAGGAGCTGAGATGGCCACTGCACCTAAAGAGGCAGAAAATGCTATTGGCTTGGAGGAAATCCACACAGAGAGAAAAGAGCCACCAAAAGGTGGGTTTCTATTGACAGGACTGGAAATTTGGGTCCTTGTTTAGCTGGGGTAGAGGGAGGGTCCTCAGTTGTGCCACTCCAGCCACTTAAAATCTCTGTACATGGAACCACAACATCAGCATCCTACATTCCCCTCCCACCACACCTACCAGGCTGGTAGCTGCTGCCTATGGCAGTGGGAAGAGCTGGATGGCTTGGCTTTTCTCAGGCCTCTGCTCTGTGTAAACACTTCATTATATTGGTAATTTGAGGATTCATTTAATTGGAATAATTTTTGAAATGTTACTCTGTTTCAAAAGCATTTTAAATAGCACAAGGCTGTCCTTCCTCCGTTTGTGCTGGCTGCTGTTTCAGCCCTGCCACCAGGACATCCAGGGGCTGGTCAGTGGACATAAAGCTGGTAGATGTTTCCAGGCTTTTTCCTGGTGCAGTCCCACAGGAGTATGAGAAATGTTTTATGAAGAGGAGATACAGTTTGACTGCTGATAAGTTCTGTGTCTTAATTTTCTTTTCATGTTTAGGACAAAAGACATTTACAGTGGAAGAAGCTGTGGAAACCATTGGGTTTGGGAGGTTCCATATCATGCTTTTCCTCATCATGGGCAGCACTGGGGTAGGTATCTGAGCCATCTGTGCTGGCCTGAAAAAAGCTTTCTTCTCATTTTTCTCATTGCTGTGCAACAGCAACCATAGGCACATACTGCTGCCAGCCCATTTTTTCCATACATACCTTCTCAAGCAGGATTTCTGCTATTTTCATCCTTGGTGAAAATAGATTTTGGTCCTATTGATATCAGACCCATTTCAGAGCAAAGCTGAGTGGGTTGGCCCAGAGCATCATGGTTTGCTCCCTGTTCTGGGGCAATGTCAGGACATGTCTTCAATTAGGGCCAGAAGGTTAAGTTCAGCTTTGCAGCTGTATTTTTCATGTCATCCCCATGGCACTCAAATCCTGTGCAAGCTGGCTCAGAATGCCAGGCATCTTCTCACCCCTGGCTACCTGAAAAATTTCATAACTTTTATGGTCTTGCGTTAATTGTGTATCTGTTTTGGGAACTTGGGCAAAAGCTGAAGGCCAGGCTGGGCTAAAGATGTAATGAGGGTCTATCCATGACGATTGCTGCAGCTGAGGTTAAAAAGTCTGAACTTGTGTGTAAATAGTCAGCTCGTTCCTAACTGAAGCCAGCACTGGGGCACAGAGCCATGGAGCAATGATGTTTTTAACCAAAAATAGTTTTAAGAGTTCATGTTAGATGCCTGAATCCACAGCTAGGTACCCAACCAAGCAGATTGGTTTCCAGAGACAGTTGAAGATCTTCTAATAACCCAGCAGGGTAAGAGTCTTCTCTGCCAAGGATGACTCTTTCCAAACTTGCCAGATACACAGTGTACCTGTACCTGCTTTCTTGGTGTACTGTTCTCTCCTCCCTGTCACCCAGACCTCCCAGGTCAGGCACAGGGCTCAGACCATTATGGAGGTACCATGGCTTCACAGGACTGTTCTGACATGGTGGAGCTGCCATGGCTGCAGGCCTTGTAGGACTGAGAGATGTTTCCCTTCTTGCTAACGCACACACTTGCTCCCAAAGGTGGTTGAAGCCATGGAGATCATGCTGATAGCTGTTGTGTCCCCTCTCATCCGATGCGAGTGGCAGCTCCAAGACTGGCAGGTGGCTTTAGTGACGACAGTGAGTGACTCATGTTCCCCTAAACTGGTTTTCCACCATGTGGCCATAATCTTGGGTACCACCATGGGTTTTGGAAAGCACATTTCCCAGCAAACCAAATTCCTAGGTTTTGGCAGGGATAAGAACAGCGCCACAACTGCAGACATCAGAAATGAAGCTGATGAGAGCAGAGGTCCATGCCCAGAGCAAGTAATGCCAAAGCAAATCCCCACTTTCACATTCTTATTTTGAAAACCCTGCGACCCACCCCCCAGCTTTGAGGGTTGCAGCAGTGAGTGCCTACACAAAGGAAGCCACCCTCTGAAAGCCTCTCCCTTGTGGTTCTGGGCACCACAGTTCATCCTGCTGCCCTGAGAACACACAGCTCACCCACAGCTCAAAGAGCAGAGCTGCCCCATGTGTCTGGGAATGGGTCCTCCACAGCTGTGTTCCAATCCCCCTCAGATGGTGTTTTTTGGCTACATGGTGTTCAGCATAGTGCTTGGGCTCCTGGCTGACCGCTACGGCCGCTGGAAGGTGAGTGACTGCTGGAGCGCGCATCCTTTTCCTGCGCTCTACAGGAGCCATGCACCTGGCTGAGCCTGTGCCTCAATGACCCTAATTCCTGCTCTTTTGCAGATCCTGCTGCTCTCCTTCCTCTGGGCAGCCTATTTCTCCCTGCTGACCTCGTTTGCCCCATCCTATGCCTGGTTTGTGTTCCTGCGGGCCATGGTGGGAGGCGGTGTGTCGGGCCACGCGCAAGGGTAAGGCTGTGCCAGCCGCCTTCCTGAGGAAGTAACGGAGGGGCTGCAAGGGGAAAGGGACCAAATTCCCACATCACCTTCAAACAAAAAGCCATTCTGTAATTTCAACAAATCCCAGCAACTGACCTAATCTGCAGTTCCCAAGGACTCCTGAGGACCAGAATAGAGGGGGCAGCTGGTTTACATTAAACTTGTAACAGAGGGATTATTAAGCACATATAAAAGCAATTAGACAGGTAACAGATGAGTTACCTGTCTAATTATTTTTATGAGTAAAATGAGTAAAGGCTGCTTCCTCCTTAAAAAAAAAAGTCACAACAATTCTGCTTAAGTAGAAAATCATTTTTGAATTATGTGAAGCGTTCCCACTGAGATTAAGTTTTTGTCTTGTTGGGACAGGATGTGAGGAAAAAAAATTCACAATACTAACAACCACTTCTCTAGGGGCCTGGAAAAATAGGGGTTTTTTTTGTTGACTCTCTTATGGAAACAAATGAAACATTTCAGCACCATCCATGGTTCCTGGTTGCTGCCCACAAAGGAAAACCACAAACTGGTCACATTGACCCAAAAGCCCTTTGCTGAAGGAAAGGACATAGGGGAGAGAGAGGTACTGTTGGGAGAAGACACTAGAGTCATACATCTGTTGAGCTGCTGACACAGCCTCCCTCACAAGAGGGCCCCCATTCCTTGGCCGTGGAGGCTGCTCATGAGCCTCATGAGGGCGGAAGGAAATTGAACATTTTATAAAAGACTTCACTGGCTGAGACAGAAGGAGCCCCTGGGGTTCTCTTTCCACCTCTCTCTCCCTGTCCAGCTAAGGAAACAAAATTCACACTGGGGAGCTTGAGAGATGCCTGTGCCACAAGCTGTCTGCCCCAAGGGCATGCCAACCATTTAAAAAGTGGAACAGAGTTTTCCTTATTTCATGGGAAAAAAGCCTTTACTAAAATGTTCATTTCTATGAACACATGCCTGTGCTGACACCTCAGTCACCCCACAGGACCTTCCCATAGGTTTCCTGATGTATGGACTGCAGTTTTTACCTGCTTGTATCCCACAGCCATGGGCTGGAAAGGATTCATGCCTTGTGTTTCCCTTGCATGTAATTTGGTGCTGGAGTGGGAGGAATATTGAACAGGGATTCCTTGTATCTGGGTGATCAAGGTGGAAGAGGGATGGTAAGAGGGATAATATTCCTTCTATGAGTTGAGCTGAAATGTTACTTGATTTGTATGGAAATTCTCATTGCAACTGTATTTCTACTTTTTTTTCCCCCTCTTTTGCTAGACTTATCATAAAAACGGAATTTTTGCCCACCAAATATCGGGGATACATGTTGCCCTTATCTCAGGTAAAAGTGAGCACATCACTGTGTTTTCTGTCTCCAAGTCCCAAGGGATTACTTAAAGCCACCCAGCAGTGGCTTAAGTACAATTGTATCCACAGCAAATTATTGGTTTTTACCTGGAGCTAATTAAGACTCCCTTCACTGTCCTTCCCCAAATGTTTGTCTTTCCCTTTTTCCTCCCACCCAAGCCCAGCTTCTCAGCCACAGGATGGCTCAGTTGAACCTCAGCATTCCCTAGCACATTCCCCCATGTGTCCACAGAACTGGATCGAAAGGGAAGAAAATAAACAAATCATTGCTGTGTGTTCATGTTCTAACCCCTTGCTTTCCCTTGGAAAGGTGTTTTGGTTGGCAGGATCCTTGCTGATCATTGGCCTGGCATCAGTGGTGAACCCAACCATCGGCTGGCGGTGGTTGATCAGAATTGCCTCCATCCCTGGCATCCTTCTCATCCTGGTGTTCAAGGTAGGAAGATCTCCACTCTCCACTCCCAGCTGTACTGCCACTGCCCTGATGTCTGCCCAGGCACCATTGCCCTCCACCCTCTTCATCCTGGGGTTCTTCTTGTGTCCTCCTTTCTCCTCTTCAGTCCTCTCACTCAGCAGCTTGGTAAGGTCCTGAAATCCTGGTGGGGCTGCAGATCAGCTTCTGGGAGATGCCACCTTGCTGGTGATGGCCTGGCTTTACTGGTCTGCTGTAGCCCTTCATCAGCCCAGGTTCCAGTGTCCAGGTTGCCAGCAGCACCCAGGGATTGTGGTGATGGGCCAGGCACCAAGAGGAAGACAGGCTGGATAGTAGGAAAAAAATGACAAATAGTACCTTCAGTCTAATGCTGGGCACAGCACACTCTCTTCAGTCTTAACATTTTCTAGGGCTAAGGAAAGTAGCCTCAGTGAAGTGTTCACAGAGTGCCAGGGTAAACCACAGTTTCCCCAGGTTTCCTTCTACTTCAGGAAAACCAGTCTTGGAGAATCTGGTTTGTGGAGGATGGTGTGGAAAATCCCTGCTTACAGTGCTCATGGGCACTGCAGTGCTGAGCTGTAGCTGCTGGGGGCTATAGAGATGGAAAAGCTCTTCCTGCAGCTGGGTGAATGCACAGTTCCATCTGGGGCACTACCTGGGCAGGCAAATGTAAGGTTGCTGTGAGTATAACCCATATAACCTGGATGTTTACTTTCCCTGAATATTTTTGTCAGAAAATTTGGATAGCTGAAGTTTGTCATCCAGGGGGAAAAAAAAGAGAGAGTTAGTATACATACCTTAAAAAAGTGGTCTTTTATTAATATTTGACTGAAATAGATGTAATTGTTTATAATTTAATAGAGCAATTTAATTTAAAAACTGTTTTATTTTGGAAACAGTACCAAATGCTAGTGACGACTTACATTTCAACCACTTCTTCCTTTTTATTAAAATGGCCTTGTTGTGCCTTCCAAAACTTTTGCTTCAGCACTAATATGCGCCTCATCTCATTTTAGAACATCAATTAATTCAGGATTGTTTTTGTTAAACCTGTGTCTTTGGCTTTCACCTTTCACAAGCCCTTGACCCAGATCATGGCAGACCCCAGGGAGCTAGACCCCAAATGGGTTTGTTGGGCAGGGTGTCCCCCCAGCATGGGGAATGGGGGGCTGGGGCACACAGAGTACCCCAGTGACCACCTTGACCATGACCAGAGTGACCTGTGACTACTCTGAGAGTAACCACCTGTTCTTCATGATCACCTTGTCCACCTTGACCCTGCAACCTTGAGAGTGACCACCTGAACCCTGTGACCACCATGACCCTCTGACCCCTTTGAGAGTGTCAACTTGACCTTGGGGCCACCTTGACCACCTTGAGAGTGACCACCTGAACCTTGTGACCACCTCATTCACTTTGAAACTGACCACCTTGACCCTGTGACCACCCAAACCTTGAGGCCACCTGGACCCTCTGACCACCCTGAGAGTGACCACCTGGACCTTAGAGCCACTTTGACCATGACCACCTTAACCCTGTGACCACCTTGACCATGACCACCTTGAGAGTGACCACCTGACCTTGGGACTACCTTGACCCCTTGTCCATCTTCACCACCTTGAGAGTGACCACCCTGAGAGTGACCACCTGGACCTTGTGACCACCTTGACCATGACCCCAAAGACTCCAAATCCCAAAAACCCCAAAACCCCAAACAACAAAACCCCCAAATCCCAAAACCAGAGTCCCTCAAACCCCCAAAACCCCCAAATCCCCAAACCACCAAGCCTCAAAACCCCCAAAAACCTCAAATCCCAAACCCAAAATCCCAAAACCCATGGCTGGGCAGGGAAGGACAGACAGTATGCTCCAGCTCATGGGGTGCCCTGTGCCACCCTGAGCAGGCTCCTGGGCACGATGTGAAGCTGTGAGTAGGACAGGAGAGGTGCAGAAAGGCTTCCTGCTCTGTTTCCAGTTCATCCCGGAGTCGGCTCGGTACAACGTGTCCACAGGGAATGCAGGGGCTGCACTGGCCACACTGCAGAGGATAGCCAGGATCAACGGGGCAGCCGTGCCAGAGGGACGCCTGAGGGAGCCTGCCCAGGTGAGTCTAGGGGTCCAGCCCATCCATCCCAGGAGGGCTGCCAGCATCTGGGCTTCAGGGAGGGAGCGGGACTGCCAACCACATCTTGCTCTGATCTTGCATCCTCCTTGCCTGATTCTTTTCCAAACAACTGCTGAAAGTAATGTTGAAGATGTCAGTTTTCTTTTGGAGAAATGTGGCAGTGTTCACAGGGGTCTCAGGTTGAGGGAAGAGACTAGGATCTGTCTCTATATTTCAGAAGGCTTGATTTATTGTTTTATAATATATATTGCTTTAAAACTATACCAAAAGAATAGAAGAAAATGTTTCATCAGAAGGCTAGCTAAGCTAAGAATAGAATTGCGAAGAATGATAACAAAAGCTTCTGTCGCTGACAGAGTCTAAGCTAACTGACTGTGATTGGCCATTAATTAGAAACAACTCTATGAGACCAATCACAGACGCACCTGTTGCATTCCACAGCAGCAGATAATCATTGTTTACATTTTGTTCCTGAGGTCCCTCTGAGCTTCTTAGGAGGAAAAATCCTAAGGAAAGGATTTTTCATGAAAAGATGTCTGCGACAGAGAAACAGTAACCTTGGCCTTCAAAACTGAATGGAATTTTTTGCTCTTTTTTTCTTAGCTGTGAATAATTTTGGGCTAAGAAAATATTTGCTTCCTTTCCCTACTGGCAAAGCATGCTGTTCCTTATTGCCCACCCATCCTGCAGGGGTGTTCCCTCTGCCATGGGATCTGGAACTGTCCCTTGGGGTCTCTCTCAGTGCGGTGACTGGGCAGGCTGCACAGATCCCTGCCATGAGGTCAACCCAGCGCTCCCAGAGGCTTCTCCAAGCCCCTGGCCTGGCTTGTCCACTGTGTCCCAGGACCACAGATCCTGAGTGTGGAGCCACAGACCAGCAGGAGCGGGTCAAAGGAGGAGAGACCTTTTCACTGATAGCATTACCTGTACCTGTAAGCAGCTGAGCAGCTCAGGAGTGGATTGCTGCTGGACTGAAATGCCCAAAAACATGCGTGGGTGTCCTTTGACCCCAAGACAGGAAGATAAGACAAATCCATTGTTCAGGGCCTCAAAATTATTCAGCTCTTTTAAATCCCTTTCCTGGATCTTTTTCCTGCATATTCAATCCCACAGGCACCGAGTATTGTCCTTAGCAATTCATGCAAGATGGTGCTATTGTATTGGAATTAGTTAGGATTAAAGCTTCCCAGTAATTTAATTGAATTTATGTAATGGACCCACATTGGATGTGGGAAGGGCTGTTGTTAGTTTTGCCCTCTCTCAGGCTTAACCAATGATGAGGAAAATAAAAATAAAGGCAACCCACACCATCCCTGTGAACTTGTGTCCCCTCGGTGGTGTGACCCTGGAGGGCAGCAGGTCAGGCAGGGCCCCCAGTGCCTGCCAATCTCTGCTCACTGGCACTTCAAGTCCCCAGAAAGATGTATGTGCCAAAAAGCTTGCTTCACAGGTAGAGCAGTGAGAGCCGACAGAAGTCCCAGCAATGCTGGCCCCACAACAGCAGCCAGGGCCCCTCTGGCACCATCACAGTCACAATGGCACCAGACTGCTCAGATCTGGGCATCCTTTGGGGCCAGGAGAGCTCAGGATGTTCTCTTCTCCCCTCCTCCATCCTTTGCAGTGCAGCTTCCTGTGGGTTTGTTTTGGGAAGCAGGGCTTTGCTCCCTGGAGGTTGGCTGGGTGCTGTGTTGCGCCATCTGTCTGTGCCACAAGCAGCCTGGGGACAGGGGGAGCACAGGAGGGCCTGGCATGCCAATTGCTCTCACAGATGCCTTTATAGAAACTTCTATTTCTATTGTATGATTTTCAGGAAAGAAGGGGAAGATTCAAGGACCTCATCCACCCCAAATACCTCAGAACCACTTTGCAGATATGGATCATATGGTAAATATTTTTTGTGTCTTGCTTATCAGCTCATTCTCTTGGTTGACAGTGTGCAGGGAGTAGGATTCTCCCATTGACTCTGCCTTTAACAGGACACCACTCTGCCTCTGATGGTGGCAGGGTGAAGCGACATGGATCACCACAGGTTTGTCCTGTTTCAGACCACACCTCAGACACCCTGACTTGTTGCTGTTAACTGAGGCAGAAAAGGGCTGGACTTCCAGGATGGTGCTATGAGTCCTTCCTCAGGACAGAGCAGCTCCTGGGAGCCAGGGGAGAACCACGGGGCAGAGCCCACACCTGACTGCAGAGGGACCAGCTGTGTGCCTGCAGCTCTCCTTCCCTGCTTGGGGAAAACTTATTCTCCCCAGGGATGGCCAAAGGACTGCTGAGACAGGGCTCTGACAGAAACATATTCACCATTACCAGTGCTACTCCCAGGGGGAAATTAAGGCTGAAGAGACAGGTTTCATATGCAGCGTTCCCAGGAGCTGTATGCAAGGGTAATACATGTTTCATTTGCTTTGCTCTCTGGAATGGAAATGTATAAATAATAGGTCTGTGGGAACCCATCAACCCAAAATGTTGTGAAGTCAGGCCTTGAATTTTTTATGTTTCTTTTCCCCTTGACTTCTATGAATGTTATGAAATATCTTTTTGTTTTTTTTATCTTTCTTTGTCTCCTAGTTGTCCCAGGAACTCTTGGTTCATTCTCAGGTCTGCATTCCCATCTCCTCCAGCATTCTCTGCCTTCCCAGGTGGCCCAAATTCTGCTGCTCATTTCTGAAACTGCCAGGGGGGATAAAAAAGTGAAAATTACTTTTCAGCCTGCTTATGATCAGGTGTATTATGAATTACTTGATAATGACAAAGCAAGGCTGCCCTCACCTGGGTCCCCCAGGGGGTCACAAGTCCTGTCAGCAAACCTGATCCAGCATGGGCTGCTCTCTCTCCACAGACCCACAGGTCCTGTCAGGAGCCTGCTCCAGCATGGGCTTCCCGTGGGGGTCACAGCCTCCTTCAGGCACCCACCTGTTTTGGCATGAGAACCTCCAAAGGCTGCAGGTGGATCTCTGCTCCACTGTGGACTTCCATGGGCTGCAGGGCACAGCTGCCTCACCATGGGAAGCATGGAAATCTCTGTTCTGGCAGCTGGAGGACCTCCTGCCTTTCATTCTTTACTGACTTGGGTGTTTCTCACACCAGAGAAAAACATGTTCTCATTTCTTTCTCCGGCTGCTGCTGCTCTTTTCATGTTCTAACAAATGTTATCCCCAAGGCACTACCGGTATTGCTGATGGGCTCAGCCTTGGTCAGCAGCTGGAGTTGGCTGCATCGGCTCTGTTGGGCATGGAGGAAGCTTCCAGAAGCTTCCCATAGAAGCTACCCCTGTAGTCCCAACCCACTCCTAAAACCTGGCCATGCAAACCCAGTACAAAGCTGAACTATGAGCTGGGGTGAGGTTTACTGAGAAAGAGCAGTGCCTGGACATAGGAAGGAGTGCCATGGCACAGGTGACCAGTGGCCTGATGGGTGCCTGAGCCACCTCTCTGCTCCAGCTAAGGGGCTTCATCATGCAGAGCTAGTGCAAGCAGCAGCAGAGTGTAGTCACCAATTGTTGCGGTGTTGTGAGGGTCCCCAGGATGAGGTGAGAGATGACAATTGACTCCAAGTTCTCAGAAGGCTGATTATGGTATGGTATGTTATGGTATATTATATCATAGCATAGCATATTATAGCATATTATATTATACTATATTATAGCATATTCTATTGTAGTGTATTATATTATAGTATAGTATATTATAGTATATGAAAATTATATACTAAAACTATACTAAGGAAAGAGAAAGGACACATCAGATAGCTAGACAAGAATGAATAATGAAAACTTGTGAGACTCAGAGTCTGACACAATAGTCTGTGATTTGTCATTAAGTTAAAACATGGAACCAATCCAAGATGCACCTGTTGGTAAGCAACCTCCTAAACCATATTCCAAGCAATCAGATAATTATTGTTTACATTTCTTTTCTGAGGCTTCTCAGGAGAAAAATCCTGCAAAGGGATTTTTCACAAAATATGACAGTGACAGCAGAGATTCCAGGGCACCCCAAACCTGCTGCATTTGAGTTTTCTCACCTTCCCCATCACTGCTGCACCTCACTGCAGCATTTCTCCCCACAGGCTTGGCATAGCTTTCGCTTATTACGGCGTTATCTTGGCCAGTGCTGAGCTGCTGGAGCGGGACCCTGTGTGTGGCTCTGCAGCCCTAGCCCTGCAGGACTCCAGTGATGACTCTGAGGAGAGCCACAGCCCCTGCCACTGCCACTTCTTTGGGCCTGCTGCCTACCAGAGCATGATCATCAGCACAGCCGGAGAGATCGCATGTAACCTCTTCCCTCATTCCCACTGCCATTCTCCTCTAACAGTGCTCGCTGCAAAGGTTTGAGCTGTGCCTGCACTCGGTGACAGGGGCTGACACGAACTGGGCACTGCTGGCAGCTTCTGGGATATACAGACCACGAGCCTGTGGCTCCTGGCTCAGCAGGGCACTCATTGGGGCACACCTCAGGCTGGGCTGTGGGCGCTGTCTTGGTTTGGAAAGACAGGAGTCTGCTAAGGAAGGCAGGAGCCTCCCCCTGAAATGGAAAGTATAAACCCTCCCCACCCCTCCGAATTGCTATAAATTTCAAATTAAGGGGCTCTCAGGCAAAATATATGGGAGCAGGAAATAACAGTTCTTTAATAAGGAAGAAAAAAAAAAAAGGATAAAATAAACAATGCACTACACTAGAACAACACTGACAGAGTCAGATCCCAACCTGACTCCCTGTAGGTCAGGGTGTTGGTAACAGTCCAATAGGAAATGTGGCTGCAGCCCTCCTGGAGTGTCAGGTGTGGTTCTGTTGGAGCAAGGGGGATCTGTAGAAAAGGGTATAGTCTTCCTCTGAAGATCCAGTGGAAGGAGAGGCAGCTACTGTTCCTCTGGGAAATCCAGTGGAGAAGACATGCTGGTGTCTCAAAATCTTCTGGATTATATCTGGGTAGCAATGCTTGGCTCCTCCCTCTGGGTGGAGCATCTCACAGTGGGATGTTATAGTTCTTATCAGTCATGCAGTGACATTCACTAGCCTGAGGGGATCCCCTCCTCAGGAGGGGATATCTGCTGATAACAGGGAGTGATTGTGATCACTCAGAGAGATAAGGCAAACTGCCCACTTGACAAAAGACAGCTGCCATACAGATGGTAATAGAATACATCTTGCCTTGCAATCTGGAACAGCAGAAGGAGCAAAACCACCCAGGCCTGTGCTGCTCACACGGCCGTGCCTTCCTTGCATGGCTCAGGACAGACATTGGTGTCCTGCCTCAGCACAGCCAATTTCAGAGCAGCACAGGCTTCACCATCTGAGGGGAAGGGTGAAACATAAGGGGCATGGGGGCAAATCACAAACTTTGAGTGCAGGAAGAGAATTATAGTGTTTGTGCATTTTACAGGATGTTTGGTAGGCACTAGGTATCTTTGAGTAACACTGTGTAAGGTCTGTCAAGGCAGACAATCATTGCAGTTAGATCATCAAGTGTTTAATGGTTTTCCTTTTCATTTCCAGTGAATCCTGTGAACATTCTCAGCATCAATCTCCTTGGAAGACGTCTAAGCCTGTGTATTACCATGGGATGTACAGCTCTATTTTTTCTTCTCCTTAATATCTGCACCTCAAGGTACTCTGGCTCAGACTATATGTCTTGTTTGAGGGTATGCAATGCTGAGGGCAAGAGCTCTGGTATTCTCAGGTCACCAGTCTGCCAGGCCAGTAATTCTTGTAGGTCTAAGAAAAGCCTCTGACAGGCTCTCCTTTTCCTGGGAAAGCTGTGGCATCAGATTCTGTGGTGCAGTGGTGTGCAGAGGGGTTCACTTGTACTACTGAGCCCACATGGCTTCCCCTAAGCATCCAACAAGCTTCTTTCTGGCACAGTCCAGAAAATTAAGAAATGTGCGAACAACATGCACTGGAAAGAAGTTATATTTGTCATTCCATTTTTTCTCCTTTTTCTTTCTTTCTGGCATCTCTGCTGATGCTGTTTGGTGACATTAACTCTGCTCCACATGGCTTTCTCTCCAGGGCAGGCATGGTTGGCTTTCTCTTCATGCTACGTGCCTTGGTTTCAGCCAACTTCAACACCATCTACATTTACACAGCAGAGGTGGGTTCTCCTTGAGGTATGTTGAGCTGCTTGGAGGCTTCAAAATACCTTTTGTGTATACACAAGAATGCTGCCTGCTAGCTTGTGGACTAGTTAAGAGTCACCTTCCTAGAATTGTGTATCTCTGGCATCTTGGCTGCAGTATTTTCATATGCAAGATGAATGAAGGAGTCAGAAAACTAGCTTGGAGATGACAGCAGTAGATGTGAGTGAGGGAAGAGGAGTGCCCTACTAAGCCAGCTGTTGCTCAGCTCCTATAAAACATTATTTTTGAGGATGTTGGGTACCACTGTCTTCTAAAATCCACAGTCTTTCCCCTATTTAACCCCCACAGTGAGAAAACAGACTACCACTAAAAGGAACATTTTCCAGCACTTAAGGGGCTGTATGAGGTAGTATATGGGGTTATATCTAGGATTCTTTTCACTTAATGGAAATTGCTATGTTCTGTCTGCAAAAGGTTTTAATCCTTTAAAGAGCTTTTCTTTCACACAAGTTTGCAGCCATGAGTTCTGTGAGTAAAGTTTAAATTGTTGGGTTTGAGGTTTTTTTGTTCTTTAAAAAAAAATGTATGGTGTTAAATGGATTTCCTTGTTAATTGATTAAAGTGATCCAAAGCAAACAGAAGTAGCTCCCTTGCACTTTTAATAGTGCACTGTAATATTTAAACTTGCACCTGGCCTTAATACCAATTTTAGCAGTTTTGAATAAGTTGCTGTTGATGTAAAGACCATTGCTGTACCAGCCAAACCATAAATCAATTCTACTCACAATTTAATCAATGATCCAAATCTTTTGAGCCAAGTGCCTGGGCTATTCTTTAATAACTTACTGAATTTGCTTGGCCCAGTAAAGTATTAAAAAAGGCTTAAATGAGTATACTTGCTAAAATCTGTGAATATTAAGAGGACTAAAAATTCAGTAAAATTCACATTTAAGTGTTTCATTGGCACAGGTGTTGGGGAAGTGTGAAAGATAAACAACACAAGGCATATTTTTCTAAGCCTATTTCTTACTGGGATCTGTTGTTCTTTTTCTTTCTTCTAAACAAAGGTGCTATTGATAAAAATGAATAGGCAGACTTGAACTCTGCAGACAATATCTTTTCTTCCTGCTTTCAAGTTACAGGAGGGCCCAGTCGTATAAACAAAATTTTTCCTTTACCATCCAATCTAACCTCTGTGATTTTGATCATAGGGCCAGGAAATGAAGTAGTGGTAGTGATGCTAAACAAATGCTAAACAAAGGGGAATCACAGCCAGCTTTGACTTGCCCTAAAACTTTACTTGGGGCAAAAAAATGAGATATTTGTGATGACTTAAATGAGGCCCAAGGGAGCTTTTATTTCTTTTCATATCTTATCCCATTAGCTGCCCTTGATAACACAATGGGTCTCTCTGATGAAAAATTTTAAAAAGCAAAAGGAAAGTACAGATATTGCAGATTGCTGTTGGATTAATCCAATTTATTTCTGGCCTGTTTTAGGTTTATCCCACCACAATGCGAGCACTGGGGATGGGGACAAGTGGGGCATTGTGCCGTGTGGGAGCAATGGTGGCTCCTTTTATATCACAGGTAAGAGCATGCTTGATAGTGTTGGTAGACATGCTGAACATTACCATCAAATACAGAGATGTCCCTGAAATTCATCCAAAAAAAAGGGAGGATGTAATCAATTCCCTCCCAACCCCATATACAGAGTACTTGGGTGGTCCATGCCAGATGCAGCTTTAAGAAACTCTCATCACAGAGTTCAGCTCACTAGTATTTGAAACTTTCTGAAAGCTCTTAAGGTTCACAAGATACTGTTTTTTTCTATTGTGGAGTCTCTCAGGCACTTATGACCCTTTGTCCACTCTTAATTGCTATTTAGTGCCAATCCCCCACACCAACGAGCTGCTGTTTGATGTTCTTTGACCTGCAGGTTCTCATGAGTGCTTCTTTCTTGGGAGCCCTTTGTCTCTTCTCCTCTGTGTGCATCATCTGTGCCATCTCAGCAGTGACACTGCCCATTGAGACCAAGGGCAGGGCCCTGCCGGTGGGTACCACACCCCAGGAGCTCCTGTGGCTCCAAAAGCTGTTGGGGACTTGTGATGATGCAGCCAGAATCCAAGCCCAGCTCTCCTGAGGTTTCTCAAGCCTGACAGCCACTCACAGGAATGTGCTGAAGGAAAAGCAGCTTGAACCACTGCCATCCCATTTGCCCAAAGCTTGCTTCTTGTGAAAGAACAAGCCAGGCTGCCTGCCCCAGCCACCTCATGTCAGTATGTGAGCTTCAGCTGGTGCAAGCCCCTCTTTACATCTCTCTCCAATCCGAACTTGAAGGTGCAGCTTCTCAGGCACATGCTCTGCTCTACCTTTGCTGCAAGGAGAGAGGACAACAGATGCACAGAGCACCTAAAGTACCAAAGTAATTTCTTAATCAAATTCAAGGCCCCTTCATCAGTCCATCAGCTACACACTTGTAGTCAGTGTTCTCTATAAAGCAATTAGCCAATACACTAAGCCCAAAGACTAAGAGGGAAAGTTTAAATGTGTAAGTCACAGCAGTTAAAACAGAGGAGGTGGTGAGCAGTCCTGTGATTCCAATAAATTCATCTACACCAACATGAAGATTTTCATGGCATGCAGCAGCATGGCCACACCAGTCTGTGTCTAATCAATTTCAACATTCTACTCTATTCCATTCCATTCCATTCCATTCCATTCCATTCCATTCCATTCCATTCCATTCCATTCCA